GCATCTCAGAAGTATGAAGCCAGTGTGTAAGACAGAAGACTGCATGTATTACAATAGATTGCATGTGACTGTGTTTTCTTGTGAAATGTCTTAAATTAAGAATTGTGAAGTTATTTTGCATCTTTTTTTTATTTCCTTGATAGGCTTCCAAGGTATTTCTTCTACATTACTGCAATTTTATTCTGTTCAGACAGCAGAACTCCCCAAAGCAAGGAAGTATAACATTTTGTATTGCTCTCCTGTGTTCAATGTGTTCAGTGATATATAGCTTAAAATGGCGATATTCACATACTCTGTTTCTTCCAAATGATATGTAATTTTTTTCTTAAAAGAACACCAAATCCACGAAAAACAAACAAAAAAACCCCAACCCTAATGTAAAGCTATTTCTTATAGGGTTTTGTTTTCAAATGTAAATACAAATAGACACAGAAACATTTTAATGCTTCAGAGTAATGCAGGCAACACACTATTTCAAAATGGATTGCTGATTTGCTACCTGAATATGAAAATCATCAAAAATTACATAATGAAAGTTATGTAATTACAGATTCCTTCCTTTCTTCTAAGCAGCTCCCCTTACAAAAGAGAAGTTTCTCATGCTCCTGTCAGTGAAATATTTCAGGAAACTCCCTCACAACTTTTCTCTGGAAGAGGGAGGAATGTGATGTGCAATAAGTTATGCCTACATGTGCAAAGCCGATCTTTGTCTCCTGTATCCAAGTCAATTTTAAGCCCAAATTGTTTGCCTGTCACAGAGGAAATAATGGTTTCAAGTTATAGCCACATGCAGAGCAAGACAGATAGAAAAGATGCTACCCCCTCTCAAGCCTGTCAGATGTCTGGCGCTAGAAACACTTTTCCTGTGTCGGCCATGCCAAAACCAGTAATATTAACAGCGCTGCTATTACAGCCAGCTCTTCCAAAACTGCCTTCTCGTTAAAGTCTATCTCATTCAAAACAATAAAAATGTTCTTTATCTAAACCACATGAGATTATGTTAACAGGGGAGCTAGGCGTTATCTGAACCTCACCCAGCAGAAAGGCAGCCTGGTTTGCTCATCAAGATCACCAGCCATATCTAGTAAAGCATCTGAAATCACAAGCCCACTGCCCAGTTCCCTGGAAAAAATGCTGTCAGACACACGCTTTCTCCCACCACAACTCCACCCATAACGTCATGGCCCTCATTTTTATCGTATTTTTCAGAAAAGCCCAGCTGATGCCATGGGAAGTCCTGCACTACCGGATCCCAGGGTTCACATTAAACCTGTCTTGACAGCCTCTCGTTAAGGCATGTACTCTTAAGATCATGAGAATCCGCACATCTTAAAGACAAAACCCGTTATTTCGGAGCTACTGTTTCATTTCTTCAGTGTGATATTTCCCTTTGACAAAGCCAAAGCCTGCTGCACTTGCAAGGGCTATGTATGCTAGGACAGATCCTATGGCTCTGAGTCAAGTAAGCACCCCACAGATTTTAAGAGGGGCTTTTGACCTCTCATAGAGGAAATTTCTAAGTTTATTTGACTGAAGCGATGGCAGAAAGCTACCATATATAGAAAGCTATACCAGAAAGCTTTAGGCATCTGAGATGGACTTGTATTGTTTACCTCAGGAATTTTACCGGGTGTTTGCTTGGTTTTAACTTACATATTCACCTTGTGGCTCTTTGCCTGTGTTATTTCATCAATTTACCCTCATTACAGATGAGTGAAGTGGGAAAATACTGCTGCCTCCTTTGTTGCTGATGCGATGCTATCTTCCCACTGCAGAGCAGGAGACTGAAGCAGAGGGAGACTTCATGCTACCCTTTGGTTTGAGCAAGCAACTAGCAGAACTGCTGCACCTATCAGAAGACCAACAAACACAGGCCACCTAGGTGGTTACCTCCACCCGATGCTGGCTATAAAGGTAAACCAAGGATAAGGCTGTTTTTACTTGCCACCACCCTGAAGAGAGAAGGGTGCAGGGCCTGCACCATAGTTTATTGCTCTGCAAAAGTATTAGGGAGATCAGCGAGCAGCAGGAGCATGGAAAGGTAGTGTGGTGTCCCCTCTGGATGACGCTGGACACTTCCTCTGACAGCTGCTGCTTCAAGATTTAGAAACTGGCAAATCACACAAAAGTGGCTTTTGTATAATCAAGGCTTCAGAGAGTGAAAAGTGCACAGACAGGGCCAGGTTTGCCACGGGTAGAAATCGTGGCAACTCTGCAAACACCAGTGAAGCCAAAACATTAATTTTTGTACTGAGGACCTGGTCTCCCATGACCGACGTCATAAAAAATACTGACGTTTTGCAAAACAGTCCCCAGTTTTTCACAAGTGCTGCAGTGGTAACTCCAGTTACCACTGAATGGTTGCTGTGTTTTACCCCAGCATTGGCTCCACCTCAGTGATGAGTAAAGTGACTCCTACAAAAATCATTTGAAAAGCACACAGGACTCCTTCATGCTAGAAGCTGCAGGTTGGACTAGATGACCTCCTGTGGTCCCTTCCAGCCTCAAAGCATTCTGCGGTTCTCAAGCATTCTGTGATTTACCATATGGTGCAGATAGCCAGGAATGCTGTGCTTCCTTGTCAGTGAAAGTGAAAATCTGCCAGAGGCACAGGGATGCTAGCTAGGAATGATAGCATCAACTAGGGTAATAGGGTCGTGTCATGGTGGCAACTCAGCCATGCAGCCGCTCACTCAGTTCCCCCCTCCTTCCCCCCCCCTGCTTCCGGAGGGATGGAGAGGAGAATGGAAAGAATGTAACTCCCATGGGTTGAGATAAGAACAGTCCAGTAACTAAGGTATAACACAAATCACTACTGCTACCACCAATAATAATAATGAAAAGGGAAATAACAAGGGAAGAGAATACAACCGCTCACCACCTGCCAACCGATATCCAGCCTGACCCGTGCAGTGATCTAAACCTTTCAGGTAACTGCCTCCAGTTTATATAGTGGGCATGACATGCTGTGGTATGGAATACCTCTTTGGCTAGTTTGGGTCAGGTGTCCTGTCTCTGCTTCCTCCCAGCTTCCCCTCCTCCCTGGCAGAGCATGAGACTCAGAAAGTCCTTGGTCAGAGTAAACATTACTGAGCAGCAACTAAAAACATCGGTGTTATCAGAGTTGTTCCCAGGCTGAAAGTCAAAGACACAGCACTGCACTAGCTACTAAGAAAGAGAAAATTGACTGCTACTGCTGAACCCAGGACAGGTCATCAGTCTAAACCTGTTTTAAAAGAACCTCTTACTGAGGCAGGGAAAAATAAAGATTAGCATGTGTTTAATTTTTAGGCAGAGCCAAGCAGACACAAAGCAATCAGGCAAAATATTTCACCATACTCCTAAAGAGATAGGATTAAATATACTCTATTAATTGTGTGCAATCCTGTGAAACAGAAACTAACATACAAAAGTGAATTATGAAACTTCCAAAAAAGTCACAATCTTATGAGGCCATGAACCGCTTTTGCCCCCCCACCCCCAAAAGAAACCCTAAAAAAATCCAAATTGCTAATCCCTGTGCCTCTGACGCCTTTAACTGGGTACTAGAACTACCCAAGATAGCAGTTTGAAACGTATTTGGTAGAACTCTTTTTTCATCTGATCCATTATTATGAAGTTGGTGCATGATTTTTATTTTAAATTTGAGAAGACTTTTCAAGCCTGTGAATGCACCATTTCACTGCAGAATCAAAAAGCAGCAATGTATGCAAATCCTTTAGCAAGATTATCTTTACCTTACATTACCTACCCAAAAGTTTGACATCTAGACTAAATATTTGCCAAGGCTCCTTTGAAATCTATTTTAAATGGGATTAAATACCCTCAGGATATGCTTCTATTTTCATTAGCTCTGAAGAAAGGTCTAGCTTTCAGACAAGTAAAGTTAGGTAAGATGAATTTTTACTCTAGTGACATAAAGTAATGAAGACATGGTATGTACATCAGAGGAGGATTTCATAGACTATACATACAGGACATCAGGAAGATAGAAATAATGGAAGATGGTAAGGCAGAAACACTTCCTGCAGAATGCATGGTACTGGGCAAACAGTGCCAGCCACACCAGCTCCTTGATCTAAGGCAACTCAAAGAGCACTGGGATCTTACTGACATAAGCAAGAACTGGACTGGGCATGCTTTGAACCAACTAATGGAAACTCTGAAAGAGGTATGTGGCAACTGCTTTATGTAGTTCCCTGAGTCAAGATATGTCTGGGAGCATGGAAAAGCTAAGGAAACTGTAAATAGAAACCGGGTCATCTACGTTTCCATCTTAAATCCAGTTCAGCTCAGGAACAACCAGAAGTCGTCACTACGAGACAGGTGGTTATTTAGTGGTGGTTTTAATCCAGGTCCCAAAACATAAAACATTGACCACACCTCAGATTACACCCATGCATGGCTATTAACCTTGGCAGTCTCCTCTGGAAAGGAGAAGGCTTCCTGAGGGACAGAGACCAAATTATTCTCTCATCTTGCAAGTGAACATTCGAGGCCATGCCTGAAGGGCATGATGGGGAGGATGCTCACCCAGCTTCCTCCTGCTCTGTACTGTTCTCCTGGGCAAAAGGGGCCACGAGCCATCAGGACCCACAGTCCCTTTACAGTGCCTAATCCTCACACAAATGCAGACATGATGCCCGAGTAGAAAATTCACAGAATAATAAAACATCTTGAAGGGGCCACAGACAACCTTGAGCCTCACTAAAAGCATTTTTCCAAGGACATCACTCAACAATATTGGTAGGGGCCTCAGAACAAGTGAGATTTCCTTGGCCAGGGAAGAGTTATAGAGAGGGTTTCTAGGATGTCACTAAGCACCAACTCTTCTGTATTTCTTTTTCATATTCCGTTTCTCTATTCCTGAAATCACGGAATTTCTCTCATTTCTTTTAATGGAAGTTGAAAAATTAACATTTTATTCTGCAAGAGACAGTAAACATAAACCAGACAAAAATGCTTTAGACAGGTATCAGAAAAAAAATACAGATACCAAATTCTCTACCAAACCCAACAGCAGCAGCACTAAGGATGATTCTGTGGAGAAGCAGTACCAGGACACATGTTAATCCTGTACCAACCCCAGCCACCATGCTCAGTCACAAGAGCAGAGGCTCATCATAGTAGCATCAACAGCTGATTATGGTATTAATTACCATCACTGGCATTTGTCAGCCACTGCACCACATGGATTACTTGTTAGTCCACACAGAATACAAATGTACCAGAGCTCAGGACTTTCTGCAGAATAACTTTAAGAAAGTTATCAAAGAGTAACAGTTGTCATAGGATGCAGGTTCATATTTCAGCAGAAATTAGAAACTGATGAGCAAAGAGTAGGAAGCCAGTTTTCAGCATGGAAGAAGAGTAATGCAGGGTGTCTCAAAAGTGGTAATCAGTGTATTTAACCACAGTGCTAGTCAATGGCATATGTTTTTTTCCCTACCTACATTACTTTTTCATACACATTTTCATATCAATTTGTCATAGCACAGTATTTTCCACTTGGCTTGGTGAAACATTCCATATTTCCTTAGGCTTGTCTTGAATAACCTAAAAAACACACGAACATAAATATCATCTCTAACCTGATTGGGGCCTCACTTCCTGTTTTCCAGCTCATTACTAAATGTATTGAACAATGCCAGATTTAGGATGCATTTTGAGACAGACACCCTGCTGCTGATCTGGGGTGTCAGGCTGAAAACTGAATATTTACTGTTATTTTCTTACTTTCTCTTTCCTATCCATTTTTAATGGGTGACTGAATGTCACTTCTTCCCTTGACAAGAAAACTCCTTCAGCTTTTTTTCTTTTTTAATTAACCTGTTCTTCCAAATCTGCTTTTTTTGTGCATTCTAAAAATTGTGGTACAACGGTGACTTCTAATTTTCCTTTAGAAAATACATCCCACTTCATCTCTTTCATCACTGATGTAGGAGGTGTATTTATAACTTTGCCATTATTTATTACTGCAACTAGGTAGGTGTTACTTTTGCCCTGCAGTAAGGCTTGGAGGTGCTCATGTTTGTTTTTAAAAGTACAAAGACTGTCACTCCTAAATTCCCTGCTTTCCCCGAGTTCCTACTTTTCTGTTGTGAGCAGCTCAAGCACATCATTCTTCAGGCCCTTCACAACTTCTGGATTAATACCATCAGGTCTGGGTAACTTGCTGCTATTTAATTTATCAGTTTGTTCCAGCACTTTGTCTGTTGATCCTGGAATAGGAGCAAAATGCTTTAAGGGCGCCTCTAGAGCAGATATCTAAAGCAACTCACACACACATCCCTTAAAAAAGCATCACTCCAGCAGCCAGAATTACAGATTACATCCTGGTTCATGGACACAAGCCACATGAGGCCAAAGGGAGAATTCAAATAACTTGGTCTTTCTGCTGCTGAACACATGGCACCGCAGCAAACCTCTTTATAATTAGCACAATCTATAAGAGACTTCCCCCTCCCTCCCCCCCACACTTTATTCAGCTAAGGTGGCTGCTGATATGCTCCCAGCTCTGTGTGTGTGAGCTCTGTCTGTGTGGGCACACACGTACACATACTGCAGACAAACCTGACCCACGACGCAGATGAACACTTGGTGACATCATTACTGTCACTATGTATAATCCCAAAAGTGCCTACCTACCTCAGCTAACACGCACGTTAATTCAGCCACACTGGAATGCAGACCAGATAGCCATGCATGCCACTTCCTTGCCCAAAGACCACGCCAGTGAGAGCAAATGAAGGCACCAGCCATGCTTGGGCACCTCTCCATTTACACAAAGACCAAGAGCTGCCTGGAGACAGATGAACCCAGGGGAGCTGACCTGCTGGTAGTCCCCTCGCCCTTTTCCCCCCACCACAGTGTTATTAGGGCTGCAATGGGATCCATGTGTGAATGCCGGCTGGCCCATATGTGCACACGCTTCCTGCGCTCCCAGCCCTGCCGGAGCTGGGGTTTTGAATGACAGCATTATATTTATATATCTGCCACCAGAGGCCCGCAAAGGCTTGGCTAATTCTGGACACCTGCAAGGTCCGTGAAGAGGGCGGCCTGCCGACACCAGGGCAAGCAGCAGCTCCAGGGAGGAAAAGTGTCGGGAGGAGGGAAGAGCAGCGCCAGCCCCAGGACCCAAGTGCTTTGGAGCACACCCTGATGTTTTCCAAGACCAGACCTAAACCTCATTAAATCTGGAGTCTGAGTTAGCCACGGCTGCATGAACAGGTCCTCGCTCCTGCTGCGGGGGGGGGCGCTGCGGGTCACCCCAGCACAGGGCAGAGCCCAGGCACACAACCTGGTGTTAGTGACCAAGCTGTACAAAAGCTCTGGGCTTTGGCTCCCTTCCACCTTGGACATTAAACCAACCACAGCCAAACAAAGGTGGGGGAGGACCAAATCTGTGCTCAAACAAACAAAAATGCTTTCTCCAAATCCCGCCTGATAGATTTAATATGACTGGTTTTTGAAGGCTATATGTCACTTTTGTTTGGCATTAATATAAATCAAATAATCCCTTGATCCCAATAAGGCACTGAGGAGACGCAGTCAAACCTCCAGAAGGGATGTGCTTCTTAACTTGGAAAGTTGGCAGATGATTTAATTTTGTTAGCAAATTTGACAGTGCCATAGGAATTTTCCAAAATCAAAGAGCCCTTTCATAGGCTTCTCTACTCAATACTCAATCCAGTGTCTAAGAATAACATTCAGCCCTCATTAATTAATGATATCAGTCCGAATAATGTCAGATTGCCTCAGAGACCTTGCCGGGATGGATGAATCACACCCTGCTGACTCCAAGGCTCTCACTCTGACAAACTGCAGTGTGCAATGACAGGCTGCTTAGCCTGGAAAACTCACCCACAGAGCCCCAGCAGCTCTCAACCCACCCCATCTGAGGCATGTGCTCAACACTGGGGCAGACTGTGAGGTTAATGGGTGTCTGAGATAGCACTCGGCTCCTCAAGGACCTGCAGGGCAGGGGCTGGCAGCCGTGGGCCCCTTCTTCCCCTGTCCCAGGGCAAGAGGGGTTGCTGAACGCAGAGTGTGACTGCTAAGCAGGGTGAGCTGGCGAGCTGGCAGCATCGCAACAGTGTGCCTCTGCTGAGGGCAGCACCACAGCTGGCCCATCCTTGCCTGGCTTGGTTATCTCTGCTGGGCACTCAGAGCTACACCCTGCCTCTATCAGGAAGGAAAATATTATTTCTTTTCACCCCGGTTAAGTGGTGCTGCACCTTCCCACGTACTTTGTGTGACAGATGCAAGAATGAACTCCAGAGGTCCACTAACTTTTGAGATTCACAGCAGAGTCAAGATACTATCCAATGGTGAAATGCCACAAAGAAATCTGTGAGTCTGGCTTTTACCAAAACTACAAACCGAGATTTCTCACAAGACCTACTCAGCTGATACTACTCCAACATGGGAAAAGACACACCAGCTGTCTCCATAAATTTACTATTTCACTGAACCTATAATTATGTATGAAAACATCCAGACTGCTTCCAAAGTGCACTGTACTAGTATTGATACAAAATTGCCTTGTTTCTATTTGCAACATAATCACAAATCCATGCTTCAAGTTTTCACATATCCACATTCTGCTTCCTGTGACAGCTGAAAAAAGTGACTCCTTATCAGTCATGAATATGAGGTTTAGTAACATTTGCATATCACCATCTTTTTATGTAAATGTTGCACTCCTGAGGCTTCATGAAACATTTCCTAGGGAGAAAAACAACTGCATTGTTTAAAACATTCAAATAAATGTTTGCCCACAGATGCTCTGCCTTTCCCCTTGTGATGACCGTGGCTGGCCAGGCATGCACATTGCCTCCTATCACTGCACCCCAGTTTCTCATCGGACACCCTGATTCTGCCACATGTAGTCAAGATCAGTACAGGGCTGAGCCAAGCCCAACGTAAACACGAGCTCAGCAGAAGCTCACATGTGGCGTTCATTGTGGGATCCCGGTCACAGAGGCAAAGTGTCAGAAAGACAAAGCTGGGACTTGTCTTTTTGTGCAGTGTTTGTTTATATGCCGCACACGTTATGCCCAGTAACATGAAGCCATCAGTTTCAAGTTACAAATATACCATAAATGCCATAAGTAATTTATTTTTCTGCTGTGCCTAGGAAAGTAAATTTGGGATTTTTAAAAATTCTTATTTGATGCTGATGTATCCTGATTGCCGCTGCAAACATATATGCTTCTATTATGAACAAGCACAATTCTGATGTGATTTCTAAAGATCTCTCAGGGTTTGATGCGAAGGAGTGGTGCCTTCAGAAAGTCCCCACTGGACTTCAGGACCCCGTCCACAAACAATTTCCAGCTCAGTAGGACTAGTTTAAGAACAATTTTAATGTGCTGTTTACTCTAAGGCATCTTGGTTCTAAAAGCAATTGACAAGTTTTGCACGTGTATGCTTGCGTGTGGAAGAGGCACTGCCAAAGAAGCCTGTAAAAAGCATTACATCTAGAGCTTGTTATTTTACTAAAGCATTCTGAAAAATTACACTAGTGATTGCATTTGAAAAATCTGGTAATGTTAATTTCACCACTGAAATATGATTTCTTTTAAAAGCCTTCTCCTTCATGGTCCCTGCCATAGGATCAGCCCCAACATCTGGATAACAGAATCCAGGCTGACAGACTAATGCACATGTGGAGGAGTGTGTCTGCTACTTTGCTGCTTCTCAGGACAGACACATTGTCTCCCTTTCCTTCTGCTTGTCCCCTCCTTTTTTTTCCTTTCTTATATCTTCTTTTTTTTTTCTTCCTTTAATAAGACTGCACATGTCTTACAGCTCTCTGCTGAGAATGTGACCAGTATGTGATATTGCCTCGCACCAGCACAGAACGTCTGGCTTAGGTGCTACCAAGTGGTTACTGCCCTGGCTTCAAGTGCTTGCTAGGTTATTAACCAGTACATCTGGCTCTCTCCCTAGGAGGGTGAGTTCTGCAGTGCCCCAGGAATTTCTTTCATACACCACTTTTATTAGCTTTTCAAAAGAATAGGGATTACCACTGGAAAGGCCATTTGCAAGCATATTGGTCCCCAACCTGTTTACCATGTTTAAAAAGCAACAATAACCAAACCCCATTATTTGATATTCAGAATTAATCTCTCCTCATTCTAGCACAGTCCTATTGTTCTTGTATTTGAAAGGTCGGCTCTACTGTAAAAGGTGGCTGGTGATGTGTGATAGGATTTAAAAAAAAAAAAAAGTTTCAGAAAGGCACAAAAATAACTTAGTTCAGAAATAAAGCTCCCAAACCATTAATTGCTGATTCTGCTCTTACTGCAGACTTCAGTCCATCAGCACGGGGCGGGGGGGAGAGAAAAGTTTTTCAGGCTTAACCAAAAGAAAGAAGCGCATGTGTAGCTCCAGAGAGCAAATTTATCTCCTTTGCTCACACATTTACACAGGACGTGAAGTTTGAATGCAAGAATTGTATTGCTATAATTTCCCATCTGGACTTCCCTATTTCAGTAATGTAAGATTGGCCTTTTCTGGTTTTGTTTATGTCACTTCCAAAGCAGTTTAAGACAAATGGGAAAACTGCTTTTGTTTTCTTACCGAAAAAAGATCCAAGTGGAGGAGTTACAGAGGTAGCTCTCCAGGGCTTTCCTTCTACCTGCCTAGCAAAGTTCAACACTCCAGGCCAAAGCTCTCCTGAAGCAAACCTGGCAAAAAGCTGCCTGCCCACCTAGCTACCTGCCTACCTACTGACCCACCTGGAACTCCACCTTCCCAGGAGGAACCTTCCTCTTAGAGCATCACCTGCAACTGCTGAGAACACTTCAAATGCAGATAATATTCTCCATGCAGAGCTAAGCAAGTACAGAAAAAACACACAGCTTGCTAGACTTGCTAATCAATCTCTTTTGAAGCCATGTGAGGCCAGATTTTCAGAAGCTGTCAGCACACCCCGGCTTCCATTGTTCTAAGTGGGAGTTGTTTGGCACTCACAACTTTTGAAGGGCCGATATTTCATGTAGGTGTCTAAGTGGGAGCTCTTTACTAACCTTTTGCAATTGCTTTTGGCTAGACTGATCATCCAGAAATATCACACTGCAAAGAGCAATGCAAGCACTCACAGAAAGCGTATTTTAAAACTACATATAAATAGCCCATACTCCTCCAGCCAGGGAAAAAAAAACAGCATTCTATGATTTCCCCAACCAAGGGAGACAGCCAGGCAAAAAG